TATGCATTGTTATATTTTGTTACAAACCACATTGATATTTTGAATCTTCATATAATTATTTTTAAATTACAAAATTACTTGTCGAAAGTTCATATCTTGGTCAACTTAAAAAACGTATAAATAATTATTGACTAGACTCCATTACATTTAATCACTTATCATGTATTAGCAATATTTTTTCTAAAAATCAAATTTACCATAAAAATATTTTTAGTTTTGACTAAAATTGTGTGTAAAATATTTATTTAAGATGTATTGTTTAAAACGGTATTATAAACCTTTTTGAAAAATTTTTGGAAAACATCCTGTTCCGCTGTATTACTAGTCTACCACTATAAATTGATGACAAGGTGAATAGTATTATTATTAAACAACCTATACCTATGATGTATTACGTATATTATACATACACTAACTTATACAGAATGACTCATTGTTTCTATAAGTGTAAACAGAGATTAAAATTTACTATAACGATGGTGTACTTAATAATTATTCCTACCTATTTTGCAGCTTTAAAAAATGATAAAATCAATTATGTATAAAACAGTTATGTATTAACTTATATGGGTATGGATACCATACATATATCGATAGACATACGAATAAATCGTATTTATTGTTTCAACTGTTAGTCGAAAACGGAACGGTATTGTTTCATTTTCAAAAAATATATTTTTTTATTATTATATCATTATAATATTGACGAGGTTTGATCAGCAAAAAAGGTTTTTTTTTATTTTTGAATATTGGCTTTATTATACAAAGAATAATAACCTTGATAGTCAATAAGATTGTATTTTTATAGAATTCTTATTATTAAGGTCATGGTCAAAATATAAATTTATTGTTTGTATAGTGGAACTCGAGAAAATTTTTCTGTATTTTAACTTAATTGAAAGCGTATAGCAGTGAATATTTTGTTTTATTGTTGACTGGAATACAGTAAAGACCATTAGGCATTCAAAAAATGAAATATAATATATTCCTATCAAAATGTGATAACGGTCGGAAAGACTGAATTTTCCAAAAGGATTCGTTGAATACAAAATTTAATTGAACATCAATATTTGTTTGAAATAGAATATGTACAAAAACAATGTACTAATCTCAGTTTTTTTTAACATTGTTAGATGTATAATAAATTATTTCTGCAGATTAAATCAAATTTATTAGTTTATATATATATACGAGTATCTAAGCTTTGACGAATAGGAAATATTATTAAATTTACAATAATTCAATATGTAATGTCGTAAAGGTCCTATTTCTATAAAAAAAAAAGATATTCAATAATTAACAGGAGTTCATTTTTCCCTGAATTTTGGTTTTGAATTATTACAATAGTATAATCAGTGGCGTATTTTAAAAAATGTTATGGAGGGGGATGTACATTTTTCTAAAAAATAAGTGATTTTATAATATTATAAGAAATACATGTAAGATATGAATAAATAATTATGTTATAAATACAAATGAAGAGTTATTTTTAGTAAAAAAATTAAAACGTATTTTTTTTTGGTAGTTATTATCAATTATTTGTTCATTTCTTATTAAGTAGTTTTTATTTATTGATAACATCGTTAAGTCGTAACCATTTTTTTTGGGGTGGTCGAGAACAGGGACCCACCTCTCCCCAAAATACGCCACTAAGTATAATAACATTATAATAAGAACATTTAATAGCATATGCTTAGCAATATAATACATATTGTACATTTGTAGCATTGAGCTTATGAAATAATAATATTATAATACTCACAATCATTTATATTCATAATTCGACCACAATCTGTAAGAAACGTCGTTGTACAATGTTATATTAAGTAATTCATTACTGTAAGAATATATTTTTTTATTTTATAAATTATTGTACATTTTGATCTATAAATCTATTTATTATGTAGGTATATGTACAAATAACTTATAATTTATATGTATATACTATAAACCAATACATTACGTGTTATGTCTATTATTTCATTAACTTTATGTAACACTTCAAAGAATTTTTTAGCTCAAACAAATCAAGCCAATTATTATTAAATATTTTCTTGATACTTTGTTTCATGTTGTTGAAATATTTAATTAATTAATTTAAAAACGAATTACTAAATTTGTAAAATCGAAGGACAATTCGGAGTATATAAATTGAACACAGCAGGAAAAAATTAACGATTTGTCATCGCATATCTTAATTCAATCTATAATATTTTTTAGTTTTATAGTATACATTTCACTCTTGAACACTTATAAGTCATAAAATAAAAATAATACAATAAAAATAAAACATTTTTAATCTATTTTTTATATGATATAGTTATGTAAGTTCAGTATTCAGAGGTTTTTCAACGATCTCATACAGTTTAGTATGGACTTACCAGTTACAATACTCATTTTATACCTATGTCATTGTTATTGACAATATTGATACTAATGAAAAAATATTCATGAACTTTGCTTTCATGTTGAGGACAGTAAAGCTTCCAGAGTATTGGAATAAAGTCATTGTTTTTCAATTGCATAAAATAGGAAGCAAGCTAGAGTGTAATAACTTCAGAGGTATTGCGCTGCTAAATACAGTATAAGTATAAGGTATTCTCAAAGATACTATTGAAGCAACTTAAACCCATAGCAGAGAAGTTGGGGATTATAAATATGGATTTCACATAAGTAAATATACAATTTTACCCGGTCTCAATAGTTGGATGTATCATCGAAAATAAATATGCATTTCGGTAACATTTTAAGGTAAATATTTGTTGATTTCAAGAAAGTCTACGACAGCATCCATCGTGAAGCTTTTCAATAAAATATCCGAATTTGGGTTTCCAGAAATACTAATAGCCATAACAAAAATGTGTATAGAAGGTATAAAATATTAAGTAAGAGTAGATCAAACCACATTTAAAAAGTTTTAAGTCCTTAGTTACTGGTCTAAAATAGAATAAATATAATAAACTTATCCAATAGATATAATGTGTATGATATATTACTATATAAATAAATTTATTATGAAACATTTAATTTTTGAGAAATCAATAAGATTTGCAAGTATGGTGAGGTATTTGAATTAGACCAATGTAAAAATGAATAATAGGTACCGAACGATTGAAAATGTCTCATAAAACATTTTCTTAAAATAATGCTACGATTTTCTACAATAAGTATATATTTAAAATTTGAAAGTCTTTAAAGTAAGCATGAACAAAATATAACAATACACAATAGTATAATACGATAATGAATATATTTATTTAATTTCAATAGAATATAATTCAATAAATTCGATTTTTATCACATTTTATGTAGGTAATAATAAACAAAAATTTTTCTGTCTATACAAAATAATAATTAAAAAGTATACTAATAAAAAATTGTATATATACAATATATTATATTATATATTATTATATATTATCGTACTCATGTTTAAATATTTTACTATTCTGAGTATGCAATAGACGTTTATCACCCCATGGAAATCCCCCTCCCACAACCAGACACGAAGAATTAGTTATTACAAGGTACCGTCTTGGACACTCTTGTTTAGGTAACACATCTACATATAATAATATATATATTTTTACAATTATACAGTTTTATAGTAATATTCATACGCATTATACGAATTTATTAATTATTAGAAATTTAAAATCTTTCATTTCAAATTTTTTTTTTTCATTTTAGATACACTTTCAAATACAATATGTTATTCAAGTTATAAATAAAGTCAATAAATTCAATCTATATATACATGATTAAATTCTACTTTATACCTTAATATATGCGAAACGCAGCCATACATTAAAATATTAGACAATTTTTTCAGATTAGAATGTGGCTAAGATAAGTAGATCAAAACTCAATCTAATTACATCGCTCCATTCTCAAATTAATTATTTCTGCTAACCTATAATGCATAAATTCATCTTCAGTTTGGTATATTTATCTATGCATAAAATTTAAATAAATCTGCCGGGGGTTCAGCACCTAGATCCTCAAGAGTAAGCTTATAACTGCCGAATATCAGTCATGTAGGTAGCTAAAGTTTCGAGTATGATACTCGTACATCTGTTACATGCATAGCTAAAGTAAATTTCAGTTTCGCAATATTCCAAACAGGAGATAAAAAAATGTTTGAGAAGTCGAAAAAAGTGACATTAAAATTTGTGCTATTGGTCTTGCAGAGAACACTATTTTATTACTTTATGTTTTGGCGTTCCCTCCAACAATAAAGAGTAGTCGTTCCGAAAAACGTAAAATTAAATCAGGGGTGTATTTATGGGGGGAGGGGGCTAGGTTACTGACAAGTATGAATCGTGCTTAATACTTGTAATTTGATAGCACAAATTGTTTTTTTATGCAAAGTAAAAATTGTAGGCTTGTGTCTGCTGGGGTGCTCAAGGCCGTTGTATTATTTGGCATGGGTAAAATTTTACTGGGCGCCACAGCTTTAACGTTCTAGACCAAAATTATATTCTACGGAATATAATACGTTAAAAATACAAATACACATAGTATAGTATTCAGGTTAACGGTACGGGGAGGAGGATTATTAATAACTGCGGTTGGACCATCGATTTCGGTCCGTGTCGGAAAAGAGAATGAAAAATAATAATAATGATAACGACACCGGAAATGCTCGCTTTACGGAGCAGTCTCGTTGAGGAAATTTGTATAAAATAATTAATTATGCACACGGAACGGTGACGACGACGAGAACGCACGGCGTTCTCCAGCTGTGGGCGCGGTCTATTCATTTTACTGATTACGCAACGGACGGTGATAACGATCAGTGCGCGTGCGTGCGTCGGCTCTGGCCGCTGTGCCCGCTCAGGTATGTTGTTTACCAGTGTACCAAAAGTACCGACCGAGTTCGAAGTTTTCAGACGTGTGCACACCGCCGCAACGACACCGTTCTGCAGCCGATAAAACCGACGGCCGGTTGCTGTATGCCGACGTCGTTTTTATCACGGTTATTATTATTATTATTATTATTATTATTATTATTGTTGTTGTTTCCCGTCGTCGTCGTTTGTTCGGCTCTGGACCGATCGGACGAATAAGAGGAGGAGAAAATTTTTTATCGTTTGTGTTAATGTCGGCCGTACGTTCGAGTTTGCGCGCGCGATCCACGATAATAACATTGTTTTAATGATAATATGTGCACCACCATTTCTCTTATCCTATCGCCTTCCGCCTTCAGACCGATTAGAATAACATTGTAATGTACTATGTAGTATATTAATTCTGTCTGGCGTGTACTGATAGTATTGTTTCCAGTATCGTTGTAGAGAGACTAGCGGTAGTACGTGTTAGTGCTTCGTCGATCGTACGCGTTCTCGTTGGATAAAATAAATGTTTTTCTTCATTTTCACTCCGGCCTATTGGATACTGGTTAGCAGACCATGACGATAATATTTGACCACTGCGTTTTGTGGAAACATAATGAGTCCTGCTGAGAACACCTGCCACCGTATTTTCGTCCGTTTTCGAGAACAACACCTATTGCTTATAGTATTATAGTACTATTTTTTAAGTACCTATTACTGGTCGCAAAACGCGGTGTGCCTTCGTCAACTCGTTTTCCAACTACGAGTAAGTTTTTTTTCTTATTTGGTCTAGATAGTAGTTTTTATATTATATAATGTAATGGGACAATAGTACTTGCCTTGGTGAAGTATTGATGATCATTCATTCATACATCTTGATCAGATAAATTATTCAAAGTAGTTGATTTAACATATGTGTTGTAAGAAGTAATCGTATTAAAAATCATAAGGAGGTAGTTGATCTTAGTTTATTCAAAATTGGATCTACACAGTTATTCTTATTGTTTACCCACTTTCAAGTTTTTTTTCAAATAAATATATTTCATGTGTTCAATAATATTATTTTTACTATAGGTAACTATGTAACTTATAGGTAACTTTATACTATAGTAACTAGGTACTTCACTTATAAAATTGAAAACAGATTAGAATTTTCAGGAAGTTTTATTTTATAGCCTGCATATCACATAAGCAATACTTGTAAATTTGTCTAGGTCATAAACTTAGTAACACTTTTTATTGAGCATCTTAGACATCAATGAACTAGGTAGTCTTATTTGATTATATAACTATTTATTATAAAATAATTGTTTTTGTTTTTGACTTTAGATGGTTTGGTATAATTAATTTTCTATGGATGAGTAATTTTATTTTATCATACTAATCGTATTTTGTAATGTTATCGGATGTACCTACATTAATCATAGAATAAGATTGTATTGACTATAGATTTTTCTAATGTTAATTAATTAATTTGATTTTGATTAAATTTTTAATTTATAATTTCATAACAACAAATTCTATTTATAGTTATAAAAGTTTTACAAGTCAAATTAAGTTTTCAATTTATAGTTTTGATCTATATTTTGATTTTGATAAATGGTACACATTATATTGGTAGTTTATGTTTTTTCATTCTGTGGGCTATATTTTAAAAAGATTAGTCTTGTTTTTCTTGTATTGAAAAAGAATACTACCAATCAAGCTCGCTTGAATAAAAGTAAGAGTACTGTCTAATTGATTATGAAGATTGGATAGAACAGCAGTTCTCAAGCTGGGGAAAATTCCTCGCCAAGGGGTAAAATAGGATTTTTTACGGGGTAAAAACTAGACTAATTTATTTTTATTTTTTTTATGTACTTATTATGTATACTTCCATATTATAATTATTATTGTTTAATAATTTCGAATTATATTTATTCAGAGTACTCTCTATTATTTTTTGCGAACCGAATTATTCTTACATAAGAAAGAGCAAAAAATAAAAAAAATTAATGTTTCTTTACATAATATATATCCATCATTGCGGTTCCATAAATAGGTCTAATTGGGAGGCAATAACCGATAACCCTATAGTGCCGGTTTTATGTTAGGACTGGCATTCGTGCTTTTTTCGCAGGCAGGGGTATTTACTAATATCTTACCCGGTTTGTGAGTAATATTCTAGACAAGGTTGGAAACCGCTGGGATAGAAGGTTCCAAAGCTACTATGCTCTTCTATGTATACGATAGGTACTGTGTATTATAACTATATATAGAACTTAACAACTGTATGAAACAGTTTTGATTTAGAAGATTCAGCTGACCAAGTTTAAAGTCTAATATTAAACTCTCATTTAAACTTTGTTAAATCTTTATTTTTTATTTTTAAACTTATAATATTATAATGAATAGTTTAGAAACAAATAGTATTGTAATATACTATATATGCAATTATTTTAAAAATTAGAATAGAAAAATGTTTACATAGAATAACTTGTATATTTAAAACTTTAAATTAAAGATTAAACGTAAGAATTTTAGTAGGTAGGTACTTATTTATTAGTACATTTGATAGGAAAATTAACTCTTTAGAATCTATTTTTTCATTTTTTTATTTCAAATATTTAACAGTCTTATAATTATTTCTTTAGTTATGTTATATAGATTTATTATTTTTGCCCATTTTATTATGCAAATACAGAAATAAAACCTTTGTAAAGTAAAATATCATAAGAGATAAAATGAGTTTAAACATTTTACTCATATTTTTTTTAGCAGGAATGAGAACAAGGGGTAAACTTCAAAGAAGATGGATAGACAGCATAAATGAGATTTCAAATGAGGTAGTCCTAGAAGTTGAAACAGATTGGCTAAATATAACATTTTAGAGAAAAATGGGAGGAAATAGTTTTGGCGGTAAAGTTTCTCAATGGGACATAAAGCTGGAAAAGAAAAAAAGAATTTTACTGAAATAAATTTTCCATGTTATTGAAAATTAAAAATGGGTTTTTTGATAGTAAATATAATAGAAGTTTTACTATTGAAATTGTTGTCAAAATATTGAATTGATGGGTTTAGGGATCATGAACCTATTTATCTAATAAGTAAATATTTAATATCAAGATACTTGAGTTAATTTATGTTTGTTTTTATTGAATTTCTGTGTTTTTTAGTTGCTTCAATGGAAACATTTAGTTACATTAATGGATAAATTATAAAGTAGTAAATTAAAATTTTATAATGTTAAGTTTTTTTTAGACACTGAAAAGTAGAATATAATTTATTGACTTTTTATAAGAATAAATATGAAGGTATGAAAAAAAAATTAAAATCTTCATGAAAATATACTGTTATATGCAAACAATGCATTCAGACTAAATATATTTTATACAAGATCAACTTTGAAAGCTAAGCAGGAAGTTAGGTTAACATTACATGTTTTTGACCCTTGTGAGTAGAACAGTGGAGGTTCCAGAAATTATTCGAGGGGATGTTATTAAAATGTATTCAATATAGTAATACCTTGTATCTACTAATACTTTTTTGTTATTACCGTTTTTTATATATTCTGACACACTGTCATCAATGTTTATAATTGTACAGATTTTTGTATTTAAAAAACACTTATTTCATAGACTTTTTAAAGAATGCTAGTTTTATATTATTTCTGAACATTTTTGAAAACCATAAAATCTTAAATAATAATCTATAACATTTCCTTTTTATTTTTTTAATGTTCAGAGTATGATGATGGATTTGTAAGTAACTATTTTGTCATCATTTCAGTTAAAATATTATTTGATTCATTATTCATAGGTTTTTCAGCATTAAGTTGTGAGAAATTATATACTTATATTATTTTTCATGATCTATTTTTACATTTTAAAACAATCTTTTCCCGATAGAAATTTTATAAGACATTTTATTATAATAATATATATTATATTAGTACCAAAGTTATTCAACTAAAATTGTTTACAAAATAAACAATCCATTTATATGCTGTTTGTATGTATTTGTATGTTCATAAGCAAGGATAAGTTCCCACCACCTATTAATTGTAATTTTTGTATGTTTGACTATTGCAATTGTTTACAAAAAAATTATTAAGATAATAATAATCTCAAGAGAAAAAGAGTACCATTTACAATATTTTATGTTTCTTTGCAGTGTAGAAAATATTTGATTTATGGGATTTAATAATTATTTATTTATCTTGTTCCCTATGAATTGCACATACATATAAATTAATGATTACATTTACCATTTAATAAATGTATGAAATAAAAATGAACCTTTCTATTTATTTGTATAAAAATAAATATAATTACAGTTGCAATCAAAAATTTTGAAGATTTTGTTAATTAGTTTGATATTAGTGATTTATACATTTTTTATAAATTATCTGCTTTCCAAAAAAAACCCCCAAGTATAATTTATAATTATTTTAGAAAATGGTTTGTACCTAATGATGTTATAATTGAAATATTAATGCATAGGAATTGACAACGGTATTAAATATATATTTATTAACAACAAATAAATGGTTATAAAATTGATCTAAATTACCCTCTCCATTATTTTCAAGTTTAATAAAAATTTTTGTTTTATTTGTTACTGAAAAGATATGAAACAAAATTATCATAAAATATTTTTATTTTTTTAATATTATCATAATTTATTTAGTTGGAGTACAAATAGATAATTCTTAATATGGAAGACGCAAGCATATTCAAGAAATAATGAAAAATATAAAATATATAATGTTTTAAATAATATTTATAAATTTCTAACTTACTCAATTTAACATTTTTTTTGTTTTTACATATCTTACATTTATTCACAATGTATAAAAAATGTCGTTTGCCAGCTCCAAAATTAAAATATTTTTATTTCTATTATAATTGTAGATTTTCAAAGGCAAATACAAGAAAAAAATGGTGGTGAGGGGTGTTGAAAAAATGTAAAATGTTGATAAATAGCATGATTTATTACTCATTTTATAATACCTATTATATATTTATATACATTATTTGCAAGTCTCATAGAAAATATTTCAATAACTATTACGTTTGTAGGCACGGGTATATTTTTAAATATTTTTTTTTTATATTTCAGTGGTGGGGGGGGTACATCACTAAAATCTCACGCTTAATTATTTTCAAACTATAAATTATATCAAACATCTATTACTAATATAATTAATAAAATTAAATTAAAACTATTAAAATTAAAACCTTCTTACATTTTTTAAAATTAATTGATTTTGATTAATATGTTTTGCATGAGTGGTAATATTATTTTTTTTTCTATTTATGTCACTTTTGGAATTATTTATAAAACTATACATAATAACATTGTAGGTACATGTCGTAAATCGTTTCTAGATCAAATAACAGTAGAGGAACTACAAAGGAAATAATTGCTATCATAGGTTATTGACCGTACCTGAAAGAAAGGACTATTTATAAATTTAAAATATGACATTATACACTGTTTTATCAGCAGCTAGAATTTTTGTGATCAATGTAATGTAAAATGTAATCTTTGTAAAGTAATTTCAGATAAACAAACTTTAGCACAAAATAAATAAATTATAATAAATACCTATAGTTAATGTAGATTTTTTACCTATAATAATTTATTGTACATTATACCTATACTGACTTTCCAAGTTAGAATGATGATCTAGTGTCAATATTTAGTGTTTATTGTTTGCAGGAGCAGCTAATTGAATGCCTAATATTAAATAATTTAATCACAGATATCAAGTTCATATTATGT